AACTATCTGTCATGGCAAGATTTGAACCCAGGTCCCCCACAGCATTAGAGATAGTAGGAACTGCAGATGCTGGAGAATCTGAGATAACAAGGGGTAGAGCTGGATGAACACAGCAGGCCAAGCAGCATCAGGAGCAGGAAAGCTGACGTTTCGGGCCTAGACCCTTCTTCAGAAATGGGGGAGGGGAAGGGGGTTCTGAAATAAATAGGGAGAGAGGGGGAGGCGGATAGAAGATGGATAGAGGAGAAGATAGGTGGAGAGGAGACAGACAGGTCAAAGAGGCGGGGATGGAGCCAGTAAAGGGGAGTGTAGGTGGGGAGTTAGGGAGGGGACAGGTCAGTCCAGGGAGGACGGACAGGTCGAGGATGCGGGATGAGGCTAGTAGGTAGGAGATAGGGGTGGGGCTTGAGGTGGGAGGAGGGGATAGGTGGGAGGAAGGACAGGTTAGGAGCGGGGACAAGCTGGGCTGGTTTTAGGATGCGGTAGCGGGAGGGGAGATTCTGAAGCTTGTGAAGTCCACATTGATACCATTGGGCTGCAGGGTTCCCAAACTGAATATGAGGTGCTGTTCCTGCAACCTTCGGGTGGCATCGTCGTGGCACTGCAGGGGGCCCAGGATGGATATGTCATCTGAGGAATGGGAGGGGGAGTTGAAATGGTTCGCGACTGGGAGGTGCAGTTGTTTAGTGCGAACCGAGCGTAGGTGTTCCACAAAGTGGTCCCCCAGTCTCCGCTTGGTTTCCCCGATGTAGAGGTCGTCACAACAGGAACAGTGGATGCAGTATACCACATCAGCAGATGTGCAGATGAACATCTGCTTGATGTAAAAAGTCTTCTTGGGGCCTGGGATGGGGGTGAGGTGAAGGGGCAGGTGTAGCACTTCCTGTGGTTGCAGGGAAAAGTGCCGGGTGTGGTGGGGCTGGAGGGGAGTGTGGAGCGGACAAGGGAGTCCCGGAGAGAGTGGTCCCTCCGGAAAGCAGATAAGGGTGAGGAGGGAAAAATGTCTTTGGTGGTGGGCTCGGATTGCAGATGGCGGAAGTGTTGGAGGATAATGCTTTGGATCCGGAGGTTGGTGGGGTGGTACATGAGGACGAGGGGGATTCTTTTTTGGTTATTATCGCAGGGAGGGGGTGTGAGGGATGAGTTGCGAGAAATGCAGGAGACGCGGTCGGGGGCGTTCTCGACCACTGAGGGAGGGGTAGTTGCAGTCCTTGAAAAACGAGGACATCTGAGATGTTCAGGAGTGGAATGCCTCATCCTGGGAGCAAATGTGGCAGAGGCGAAGGAATTGGGAATAGGGGATGGCATTTTTGCAGGAAGGTGGGTGGGAGGTGGTGTATTCTAGGTAGCTGAGGGAGTCTGTGGGCTTGAAATGGATATCGGTTTCCAGGTGGTTACCAGAGATGGAAACAGAGGTCCAGGAAGGAGAGAGAGGTATCAGAGATGGTCCAGGTGAACTTAAGGTTGGGGTGGAAGGTGTTGGTGAAGTGGATGAACTGTTCAAGCTCCTCGTGGGAGCAGAAGGCAGCGTCGATACAGTCATCAATGTAACGGAGGAAGAGGTGGGGTTTAGGGCCAGTGTAGCTACAGAAGAGGGATCGTTCCACGTAACCTACAAAGAGGCAGGCGTAGCTTGGGCCCATGCGTGTACCCATGGCCACCCCCTTTGTCTGTAGGGAGTGGGAGGAATTGAAAGAGAAGTTGTGAGGGTGAGGACAAGTTCGGCTAAGCGGATGAGGGTGTCAGTGGAGGGGGACTGGTCGGGCCTGCGGGACAGGAAGAAGCAGAGGGACTTTAGGCCATCTGCATGGGGAATGCAAGTGTATAGAGACTGGACGTCCATGGTAAAGATGAGGTGTTGGGGACCAGGGAATTGGAAGTTTTGGAGGAGGTAGAGGGCGTGGGTGGTGTCACGGACGTAGGTAGGGAGTTCCTGGACCAAAGGGGGAGAAAATGGAGTCGAGATAGGTGGAGATAAGTTCGGTGGGGCAGGAACAGGCGGAGACAATGGGTCGACCAGGGCAGTCAGGTCTGTGGATTTTGGGAAGGAGATAGACGCGGGCAGTGCGGGGTTGGGGAACGATGAGGTTGGAGGCTGTGGGTGGGAGGTCACCTGAGGTGATGAGGTTGTGGATGGTTTGGGAGATGGTGGTCTGGTGGTCGGGGATGGGGTCATGATCATGATCAAGGGGGTGGTAGGAGGTGGTGTCGGAGAGTTGGCGCCTGGCCTCGGCAATGTAGAGGTCAGTGCGCCATACTACAACTGCGCCTCTCTTGTCCGTGGGTTTTATGGTGAGGTTGGGATTGGAGCAGAGGGAGCGGAGGGCTGCATGTTCCGTGGGGGAAGAGGTTGGAGTGGGTGAGAGGGGTGGAGAGGTTGAGGCGATTGATGCCTCGACGGCAGTTGGAGATGAAGAGGTCAAGGAAGGGTAGGAGGCCTTGGGGTGGAGTCCAGGAGGAGGGGATGTGTTGGAGGCAGGAGAAGGGGTCAGTAGGGAGAGGGTTAGGCTCACGGTTAAAAAAGTAAGCGCGGAGGCAGAAGCACTGTTCAACGTCCAAGCGTGAGCGGTATTCGTTGATGTGTGGGTGGAGGGGGACAAAGGTGAGCTCTCTACTGAGGACTGACCGTTCATCCTCAGTAAGGGGGAGGTCTGGGGGGGGGTGGTGGGGGGATGGTGAAGACTCGGCAGGGCTGGGTGCTATTGTCTCCTCTGGAGCTGCTGGCTGTGGAGGCGGTGGGCGGAGCGACATCAGCATTGGCCGGAGTTGCGTCGGCAGTGGGCGGAGCGGGGTAGGCAGCGGCAGCAGCGGTGTCAGCAGGTGCGTCCTCAGTGTCTGTGGTGTTGGTGTCGGAAATGGAGGCGGTGGCATCAGCAGCGATGTCGATGGTGTTCGCTGTCCCAGAAGTGGTGGCGGCGGATGTGACGTAATCCGTGGGTGCTCCGAAAGTGGCCACATGGCCGATGGCAGCAGGCACATTGCGGGGAAGGTCCTGGGTAGGGTTGGGGATTTGGGAGGTGGAGGAAGCCTGTTTTGGGTGGCAGGCACCAGTAAGTTTACTGTACTTACGGTTCTTAGTGTCCAATAAAGCTGAGTAGAATTGAGAGTTCAGGTTGTGTCCTACGAAGAATAAAAAATAGGAGAGGTCTTTTGCAGGTCTGGGAGGGGGAGGCTCTGAGCTGGGCAGGCTTGATTGTAGTGCCAGGAGATGCCGGCGCATTGCTGCAAGTGTGTGTTTCAGGAGTCGCAGGGAGAAACATTTTTGAAGGATCTCAATGTTCTGGATTGACAATCCAGTGATAATTCCTCTAGGCCATTGCCTCTCCAATGAAGTGTAGAAGAGCTTTGAGAATGGTCCCAGGGATGGGAAAATATCAGTTCCATGGATTGGAGAACCCGAGATAGTATTCTCCTATCCATGGAAAACAAAGAGAGCTCTAATAGAGGTTTTCAAAATCATGAGGGGTCTATTAAGTGCAGAAAGGGAGAAACTGTTCCTGCTCACAAGTGGGTTGAGAACCAGAGGGGATAGCTCTAAAGTGTTTTGCAAAAGAAGCAGATCCAAAGTGAAAAAATACCTGATCTCAAGTAGCTGTGGTATGGAATGTACTGCCTGGAAGTATTGAAAGGGGACATTTGATGTTTAAATAAAAACAATATGCAGGTGAAAAGCAGGAGATTGGCCACAAGAGAAAATGATCAGAGAGCCAGTGTGAACACAATGGATCAACGGCCTCTTTGTGCATCATAACAGTTCTGTGGAATGGAAAGTGGAAAATAAAGTTGAAAGTTTCATTGCAACTCACTCCTGAATCTGACCTCTGATAGGAAGACAGCAAGATCAAATTATATTCTTCCAGTTTTTAAAAATAATCTACTGTTCTAACATTTAAGAATGCCTTAGCAATCAAACAGAAAAAACTTGTTAACTCCAGGAAGCAGTTACGATGATCCTCTCAAAGACCGTTGACAAGGCATCGGCTTTTGGAGCTGCTGTGCCCGATGAAGTACATCAACGGGACGACACTAAATATACTGAAAGACTGCAGATAGAGGTAAACATAACGTGTCATAAAACAAGAAAAATCTATGGTAGAGATTACTGGAATTTCCAAAATAATATTCTTTGAATAGTGCCTTAGGATTTGCTACCATTTCAATTTTATCTAGTTTAATGGATCCAGTTCTTAAAATTTGCCTTTCCTCCTTTCCCACCACACTCCCACCCTACTCTTCCATAATTGCACCAATTTTCAATTGGTGGGCACAAGAATCTTCTATAATTTATTTCAATAGCATATACTAATGGATTTGTATACGTCCTACATAGTTTAAATCTGCCATCCTTAGATGTCATTACTGTATGCCAGTGACTGTAGAGGTGTATTGACAAAAGACATTCAATTGAGACTTACTTACTGAAGCTGTGATACATTGGAAAAAAGCACAGTGGCTAGCTACTGCTGCTCCTGGGAAAGAAACCTTGAAATCAATATTGCCTAACTATATTTTAGAAGTAAAAGCATCAACTAAAGGAATTGCAGGAAAAAAAGACACACTTCTACTTCTATTGCACACGTTGTTGTATGTGAAACAAACCATAATCCAGGATGAAATGGAACACTAATTTCCCAATTTGTTAATAGGTCGCATGAAAGGTGATATTGATCTTTATTTCATTAATCAATCTATACCTACGGCCATCATCATTGTAAATAGATTTCTGTCCCATTGAGGTTTAGAATCAAGGCTTACATAAGCAGGACCTATTATAATTTACTGTTGCCTTGCTGCACGTTGTTCCCTTCCTAAAACAAAATCTAAATTCATACAAGTGCTTGGATTGCAATCTTTTGACTCTCTTCAACATACATGCTGCTACATGTTTGAGACTTCAATCTGATTATGTTTCATAACAAACTTCTACTACAAATCACAACAAATGCTTTGATTGTTGCCTTTCTATGAAGATTGTTTGATTTAGTATGTCAACTTCTTACCTGCAAGATGATGAGATAAGATGCAGCAGTGTCCAAGTCTTGTGCCAACAGACACTCTTCAAACAAATCTTTAGGGTTGCCTACAGCAGCAAACAAATAATTCCACAAGGCATATTCAGTCTTTCTAGCACAGTGAACTACTGTCTGGAGAAAGAGAGGAAATTCAGTGATGAATTTTGCCACAGTTGGAAGCAGAGGGTCAGGAATAGGTTCCCGAGAGGTAGCTTCTTCTTCCAATACTTCATGAAGCATCAGTTCCAGTACATGAGGGAAGTATGGTAATGTGGCACAAGATTGAGCCAGGAGCAGAGCCTGTTCACCAAGGTTTCTGACCAGGAGCTGGCGAAGAATATGATGGAGGTAGATTTGGGAGGTCCTCTCAACAGTACAGAAAGGGAATAGGACTTCCAAAGGTTCTTTTTCATTGTTATGTGTGTATAAATTGTCATACAGCACAGTTTCATTCACTGCACCAAGGACCAAGGCATCCTCGAATAGGACAGCCAGGGGATAAATATTGATCTGGAAAGGCAACATGATCCGTCTGGACAGAAAGGAATGTGGCTTGCGATTGTCTCTAGGAAAAAGAGGGAGCCAGACTTTCATCCCTGCTTCTCCACAATTAAGCCAGAGAGCCTCCAGCAAATGACGCTTCTGTTTATTAGATCGGCAGGTAGTCCATACGTTTTCAACACACTGGGCAAGCACCACTGGAGCACAGAATGGGAGCTAAACAACAAAACAAAATGCTCATCTTGAGAAAGGACTAAATCAGAAGTTAATTGATCACTTAGAGCAATATCTATTCTAATTTCATCTTAGAATATTTTAAAAGCATCGTATAACTAATGTTTTTCTCCTGAGCTGGTTGGAAATTATTCTGGCGCATTTACTTACCAGTTTCTTTTGTTTGGAAACACTGTCCTTCTCTCGTACCTGAGGACCTGATCGATCCCTTTGTAGCAGGATAAGCTGACCTGCTAAATTGAGCATAATGCTCTCTGCAGCACAGGCCTAGGGTGCGGGGAGAAAATAAAGGCTATTCAATAACACTATCATAGACTTATGCTACAAATAATCAACACAAAAATACACGAAGTTAAATTAAGTGCTAGTTATGGTCACCAGTTTCCACGCATGTGGAATAGATCAGAGACAATTCGAAGACTATAACCTATTTTGAAGGAAATAACACTACTTCAAATAGTGCAGAGAAGGGGTACTTATACAATGGCAGTTATCTTTATTAGACTTTAAACCTCTGATGTGAAGAGCAAGGTCATAATAAAGAATTCCTACATCATCACAGTTAAAAAGAAATACCTCTGTATAATTACTAGCATCTCAGACATTTCTCATTAAGCCTTTGTATGATTTAGATGGTTAGTTTCATTATGGGCCAGCCATTTTGGTAACTATAGGGGGAAGGTGTGGAGAAAAAAAATTAAAGAAATTCACAAACTTTTGCTCTTGGCTTAGCTTAGCTGTTCTAAAAGCAAAAATAGCGAATTGGTGACCTTAAGCCACTAGTAAATACACTGAAATCTCCCTTTATTACTTTTAGGATTATGGGTCCATTCAGAAGATTACCAGGTACTAGACAGCTCAGGATCCTTGTACGTGTGTTTTAAACTTAAAAAGGGAAAATATTTAACAAAGGACTATTCAATATTCGCATCACCCCTCCTTTTAATAAAAGGACATGACTTTCATTTTTTGTGTGCAACGGCATCTTAATTATACGTGCTTCATTCCGATAACTGATCATTAAAATTGTTCAAAAATACTGGGGAGCCAAAACAGGCTTACAAACAGCAACTGTTGCTGCAACAGCTGACTTGCCAGCTCACAGCTCTCCAATGCATCACCTGGATGCACCACAGGCTTGAGGAAGCATTTCAACAGCCTTTGCTCACTACCAATTATAAGTCTCCAACTACAGAAACAGATGTCAAAGGCAGTATGCAATTGGTTCCAGCAATTTTTTGCTGAGCTCAGAGCTGTTGTCTACTTTATAAGTTGGCATATGGTAACATATACGTGTGGTGAGAGGAGGCGAGGTACAGGAATAAGTTGCAAATAGCAAACAGTTTGATTGATCAGCTGATGTGACAGCACCAAATTTCCTGATGAGAGTCTGGTATTGAGGAAATGGTTGGATGGGGAAAGGCAGAGAAATCTAAAGCAAAACGCAATTTAATAAGTTTTGCTCACTATCAATTTCTTTCATCCATTTGGGAGGTCTTCATTAGAGTGGACACTTAAGGGTTCCACTCTACTAACAAATTTATTGGCATACTTTATAGAGAATAAAATTATTTTAGGGGCTTTTAAAGAAAGGGCATATCTTTTTCAAAGGCTACTGATTCAACCTGAATATTAGTAATCCACACAAATGGAATTTAAAAAACTATTTAATCCCAATTACACATCTTGGACTATCCTGTACGTTACTGCAAAATAAAAATAGGAATTAAAATGTTGGCTGAAAATTTGACCTTGATTTATAATCACACAAAATATTGGTAGCAGAAGTGCATACATTTCAACTGGTACCTGCTGTGGCATTTTCAAGGTGATGCCTGTCTCTGTTCTCACAGAGGTCAAAGTTATTGATACCACGAGTGAAGGATGTGGGATGTAACGTGACATGGATACCTCCTGAAGAACCTGAACACTGGCAGTGGGATTAGGACTAAAGTTTAAGAAAAAATAAAAATCAGATTAAAAACTGCAAATCTTTCCAACTTTAAAAAAAACAAATCACACTTCTGAATGGTTTAATTTCTTTATACTTAGTCAATGAAATAACTTAAAAAAACTTGCTAGCATTTGGTAAGAGATATTTGCTTCCACTTCACCTATTATCAGGAACAATTCAGGGTTAGAGGAAACTCCCTATCAAACATTGTGCCTTAGTCTTAGAAGAGTATAATCAAATGCACCACTGGCATTTTTCATAACATGTACGTGTTGTTTGCAAATAGTAAAATAGCTTCTTGTATTCTCTACTACTCTCAAATTAAAGGATCTAGATTATGGAGGCTCAGTCCATTTTGGGAAAAGAAAAGAAAACAGGCTTTCCAGCAATGATTTTGTAGTTATAGGAGTACGTGCATTAGTCAAAAGATCAGCCAAACTCTACCCACTCAGGCTCAGATACTAAACCTGTAAACAGAAAAAGTTCTTTTGAATAGATTTTCAAAAAACGCTGAAACCTTGCAGTCACTGTAAATGATGCATAATGCTAAATAATGTGGAAATTTGTGTTTCTCAGTGCGAACTCCTTGCAATTGAAACTGTAGAATCACTTCCTCTAATACCTAATGATAAGTTGCAGAAATTTCAAAAGATTGTTAAAACTGTCAGCTGAATAATATATAATTCAATGTGTGCGCTCCTAATGGGATATTAGACAAACATGTCATTCTACCCTGACGAGTCATCTACTTACTTGAGAAAACAAATATGTTTGTCTTATAATTCAATTCTATTTTTAAAAAAAAGTGGCATAGATTCTTCAAAGTAGTACCCTGGACAGAAAAAACATGGACGATCTCAGCTCAATCTTTATCCAACAGATGGCCAGCAACACACAATTTAAGAGAGATCAAGGCAAAGACTTGCGACATAATTCCTTGCCAGGCTAACATGATTAGGACACAGCATATAAACTGGCACCACCGAATCTCAACTGGACCATCAGGGGCCAGGAAGAGCAATGATAAAGTTTCATACAAAAGTAGAAGAAAATTCATAAATGCTGATAAGCTGAAGGTTGAACGGCTCGATGCTGAGAAAAGATTACTGAGAGGAAGAGGAGGCATAGGTTTGGAAAAAATGCCATGCACACATAGCAAGGTCAGCTTTCTTGTTGTGTTTTTTTTTTACTGCAAGTTTCACAGCAGACCAGTCACCTGCTTTTAAGTCCTGAGTGAGCCAGGGCAATTTGAAAGAACATGATTATGCACTCCTATTCAAGACAGACAAGGTCACATTTGCAACTCAAATCAGGGATTTGTATTTATTTTCTTAGCAAACCGATATGCTCGTGACAACTGTTCATAATACAGCAATAATTCCATTAAAAAAGCATTCATGTTTTATCAATAATTTATGTCAGCAAAAATGACAACTGTACAGTCATGTTTTAGATTTTGTTTTGCATCTATTTCCAAATGAAATACATCTACAATTTACATATGGTCTAGGAGTTAAAATACCTACTGAAACTGGCATGATGTACAACATCTTGATGTATACACATATAAACAATGAGGTGAGGGGGCATACAAACAAGGCAGCAAGTTGATGCACAGCCATTCCAACATATAGCGAACACAGAAAATAGGAGTAGACCATTCAGCTCTTCGAGCCCATTTCGCTATTCATTATGACGGAATAACCACAAGGCCACTTGAAATTGAAGGTAAACAGAACAAAAGAGGGCTCTATTTCTTTGAATGTTTCAATGCACAGTGAAAAGAGTTACTTGACCTAATGCAAACTCCAAATATTCAAAAAAAAACTTAGGACTAGCAGTAGGCCATTCAGTCCCTTCAGCCTGTTCCACTGTTCAATGAAATTATAGTCGATCTGTGCCCTAACTCCATATACTTGCCTTTGACCCATATCCCTTAATACCTCTGCTTAACAAAAATTTCACTCTCAAGCATTCTCAGCCTTTTGTGGGAGAGTTTCAAACATAATTGAGGCCCTAACACAGATCCTTGCAAGATACCACCGGCTACATCCGGTCTATCTGAATAGTTACTCACTATCCCTACCACTGTTGCCACTCAACTAATTTCCCAGCCATGTCAGTAATTTGTCCTCAATTCTATAGGCTTCTACCTGCATTAATTCAGGAGCTTCAGTACAATAATAAATAAATGTAGATGCTTTTGTTTATTTGAAACTATTATTAGAGGTGCAACTAGAATCTTTTAGTAAAATGAGGTAAAATGTAATTTCTTGACTAAACAATTTTATGTTGTAAAAATGTTTAAAATTTGGTTAAGGTAGATTTTTATTTTCTGCTTTCATAGCTACAAGCAGCAGCATTAGTTCAGACATCATGTAAATTTGTACTGCTAGGCTGTGATTAGGCATAATTAATAAGCAAAAATTAAAACCTTTTTAAAGAATTGCCCAAGCTGAATATGGTAAGTGCAATACCTGGTTATGTCACAATAGTGTGACTGCTCTAACCACAAACCAATGTTTCAAAAGTTCACATGCTTTGTTTTACCTCTGTTTTACCTTTCCTTGGAGAACAGCATTAAACACAAGAACTTGGGAGACTACTCACCCATCATCTTTCCGATCAATACTGTATAAGCAAATAGAGCAGTCCACTCTGAACAATATCACCATGTCCTTGAAGACATTTATGAGCAAAGTCTCTGATTGCACTTTGGTAATATGAGCAAAAACATTGTCTAGGTTGGATGACCGGAGATAAAGTCGTAGCTAGTTTTGAAAAGAAATGAGAGTGGACATTAAAATTTTAACAATACTTGTAGGAAATTTCAACATGAATTCTAAGGATAATAAATTTTGCACACAGAATACTCATCTCAATCATAATCCATAGCTCATTTGAAGAGCCTGCAAACTTTGTAAGTTAGCAAAATGTTCACCAAAGGTTTTTTTTTGGAAGATGTGCAGAATGGCAGAGCTACTCAAACCGGTCTTTAAAATTGTTAGATCATTTATAACAGATGACTAATAGCAATAACCGTATCATCCAATAATCTCAGGAAAAAAAATCATTTTGTGATCATTTTTCACACAGTTCCTCTTGCTGATTAAACATAAGTGTCATGCATTGATGGGAAGTGCACGCTCAAAATCAAGCCCCGCTATTCTGAGTCATCACAAAAGTGAAATATGACGAACTTAATCACTAGGATGGTTAATGTTTGACTTTGACTACTAAGATAAAAGAAAGTGACACCAAGTTTCATTAAGAAATAACAAAACTAAGATGCAAAGTTAAACCACATATCCTTTAAATCCAAATACACACAACAGTTTACAAATGGAAGAGACAAGACAGACAATTTTGCAACAATACAGTGGATGGAAAACATAGGAAAGAAACAACAAAGTCTGTGGATCAAGAGTCCAAACCAAAAAGGGGTGAAATAAGCCCACTCTCTCTCAGTTGAGTTTTGGCGATGATATCGCATTGCTGTCAACCATGGCTAATCTCAATTCGGTATCTGGGCAGCTGGACATAGGTTTTTGGCATGAACTAGAAGTGATTTTCTCTTTGCAGAGCCTTCAAGCCCTATTTCTTTTCCATACTCAAGAGGAAGAGGGAGGTATCTAGCTTGTTGCAGGCATCTAAAGGTCTGAAACAACTGCTCTCACACCTATGGCAAAAGGGCTACTGAAAACCAAACCCAAGGCTGTTGCTAGGTAGTTTCTTATTTTGCAGCCTAAAGGTGAGTTAATCTGATACAAGTATCAAATCTAGATTCTTTCAGGAGTTACATGGTTTTGTGTATATCATACTATTCTGCTTCTGTTTTGCTTTGATTCTTTGCCTGCAGCAGTCCAAGCTTCCATCTTCCTATTTATATTTCCAAATAAAATGTACGTAGTCCTCACAACATGCATTTTAAAAAGATAGACATCAACATGCAGGCATTATCTTGCAGTATTTCAAACTGCAAGCAATGAAATTAGTTAAGTTTATTTACTTGGAGATGAGATAGAAGTAAAAAGGAAAATAAAAAAGAACAGAAGACGGCTGTAATTGTTGTAAAGATCAATCATCTCAATCATGGGACATCACTAGGATATAGCAAGACCCAGACAGCATCCAGGCTTGGGCTGATCACTGGCAAGTAACATAGAAACCTCACAAATTCCTTGTATTGACCATCTCCCCCTTGACACTCAAATGGCATTACCATTGCTGAATTCCCCACTGTCAACACACAAGGGGAATTACCATTGACCAGAAACTTAACTTTTTAAACAAATGGGAATACAACAGTAGGTCAGAGACTGGGAATTCTGGGCGCATACATCCCAATTCTCCAATGTCTGTCCATCATCTTCAGGGCATAATACAGGAACATGATGGAATACTCTCCACTTGCCCGAATGAGTGCAGCTCCAACAAATCAAGTAGTTCAGCACTAATCTGGAAAAGTTGCCTATTTGGAATAGCACCCCTTCCACCGCTTTCAACATTCAATCACTCTCCCACCAATGCACACCAGCAGCAGTGTATACCATACTAAAAATGCACTGCAACAGCACCTTTCAAATTTGTGACCTCGAATACCTAGAAGGACCTGGGGAAAAAGATGAATGAGAACACCACTGTGTGCAAGTTCCCCTCTAAACTACACACCATCCTGAATTGGTATAACCAAGTCACCATCCCTTGACTGTTGTTGGGTCAAAATTGTGGAACTTCCTTTCCAACACACTGATTTCAGTAATGCAAAACGGTGACTCAGCATCACTTTGGAGGGCAATTAGGATTGGAAATAAGTGCTGGCCTAGTCAGCAACCCACATCTTGTAGTTCAATTGGATTATCAACTGACAAGCTCTTCTTGAATGCTCAGTTCTCAGACCACAGACAATTAACTGGTCATTGGCCTTCTGCTCAATTCGTATAATGATTGAAAGTGATAGCCAGCTTCAGCTCCAAAAACCCTTGTATTCTTCAAAGTTTGAGAGATTCTCCTGTAACCTTTATCTCCCACATCAGTTCAGACAGACCCATGGGCGAGCTGGAAGCTGAAACGCTTACAAAAATATCTAATTTTTAAGATTTATGAAAACAGAAACCCGGCCTTTGAAAGAAAATGCAGATTTGCATTTACATTGAATTGTGGTCACTATTGCAATAAAAGCAAAGTACTGGCAACTTGGGTACACCAAGCCCCAAGAATTTTTTCATGGACGGTGGTTGAAAGATGGGAATTAGCCAGGTTGCCAGGGACAGCTCCTATGTGTTCCTTTGAAATTGTGGCATGGGATTTTTCACATGCATTCAAAAGAGCAGACTGGACCCAGCTTAGCATCTCATCCAAAAGCCTAAAAAGGAAACAATGATTCCCATTGTGACTTAGAGGGAACTAAAGAGCTGTAGGTATTGATACTAGTTCAATCACTCATTTTAAACAATCCCACCATTCCAGGGTGAACCTCTGTTGCGCTCCCTCAATGACAGCGCTTCCTAAATCTTTCCCATTTGGGGCTCCGTTTGAGGTCTGAAAAGTGTTGCAACCTCTCAATGGTAGCAAGGTCAGGAGGCGTGGTCTGAGAGAGAAGGGAGGGCTGTTGGCCAGAGAGGACAGTTGTTATAGATACAGGTAGATAGGGTTCTCTGGCCCAGAGGTAGGGAAACTAGCATTGTACCACTGTCGGTTAGAGCTGCCGCGGTGGTTGTGACCCCACTAAGGATTCTACTTCCCACATCAGGAAGCCCTGTTCTATGACAAGTACATTGCTCCTTAGATAAGGAGACTAAAACTGCACATACTTTTCCAGGTGTGGTCTCGTCAAGGAGCTTTACAATTGCAGGAAGCTATCTTCATGTCTGTACTCAAATTCCTCAACAAAGGTCACTGTTAGGGCTGCCCATGACTGAGCAGCACAAAATAGCTGACGGCTGCCCATGATTAACGCAGCAGAACATGGCTGACAGTAGTTAGAGCGCTTGGGAAAAATATTTGCTTAATGTAGTCTTCACAAGTAGAACAATAGAGCAGACTCAATGTTACTGAAATGAGATACAATTAGCAACTGCAGTTATTTACGCATAAAACACTAATTAGTGCTCGAATTACTTAATCTGTTACAATACTAAGAGTCGGTTTTAGATACGATTCATCAGTTAATCATAGACATAGATTCTGAAGTAGTAATAGATTCGCCAATCACTAACAGCATTAGGGGAAAAGATTCAAATAAAAATTATGACAGCAACCTAGTCTCAGACAGTAAAAGCCACCCCCATATCATTAAAGGGAGAAATAAACAACATTGCAATTGAATCTCTGGTACAGCAACATGGATTGAATGAACACATAAGGCACCCAAGGATAAAGATAGGGGTGTCTAATAAATACGGTAAGATACAACTTGTTAGCTAAAGAATTAACATAAGGTGTAACCACAACTTTGTTGGAACTGATATTTTAACAAGTAGCAAAAATCAATATTCTTTTGTACTTCCTGTAATTAGGTTAATAAGGAATTTAAAAGGTCCTGGAGTGATAGGCAAGTATCCAATTAACTGGCAGTTAACATGGTGCTAAGCTCAGGGTAGCACGGTGGCACATTGGTTAGCACTGCTGCCTCTCAGCGCCAAGGAACTGGGTTCAATTCCACCCCAGGCAACTAGCTGTGCGAAGTTTGCACATTCTCCCCGTGCCTGCATGGGTTTCCTCTGGGTGCTCCAGTTTCCTCCCACAGTGCAAAGATGTGCAGGTTAGGTGGATTGGCCATGCTAAATTGCCTGTAGTGTTCAGGGATGTGTCGATTAGGTGGGTGGTGGGGGGATGCTCTGAGAATCGGTATGGATTCACTGAGCCAAAGGGTCTGTTTCTACACTGTAGGGATTCTATGATGACATATCTATGAATAAGGTGTCCATTGTGAGAAGCTTCAAGAAGGGAGATTAGCGTGTCTGGGAAACATGATGAAATAAATTGCCGAGTGCTTCATTCGGGTTGAGGACTATTAACAGTTAAACTGTGTCAAGTAAATTGCTGAGGCAAGCTTGAACTGTACAAGATGCTGTACCAGAGATCCAATTGCAAAGGGATAACTCAGCTCTGTTGACCAATAGTAAACATAGCAGATGCACTTTAAGTCTAAACTGTATAAATTAAGACACAGCAAAACTTTGTGCGCCTTATTGCTCTGGAGAAATAAAGCTGTACTGAAAATAAAGTTGCAATAAAAGTTACTTGAAACTCGGATCCTCAGTGGAAAATATGAGATCTAACAGTCACTATTTGCTTTTCTAATTGCTTGCTACACAAATTTAGCTTTTGGTAACTCGTGAGTATCCAGGTCTCTTTACACACCTGTATCTCCCAACCCGTCAGCACTTTTCTCAGGCAGAATGAATACCTTCACACTTATTCACCTAACATTACAAATGTTATATGTTAGCCCATTCATTTAGCCTGCTCAAGTCCTCTTGAAGCCTCCTTGCATCTTCCACACATCTACATTCCAACCAGTTCGGTCATCAGCAAATTTTGGAAACAGGGGCTTCTCCTATAACGTGTGTTCCAGCAACACAAATTGGCTATAACACAATTAACGAATAGGGAATGGTATTTGTAAAACGCAAACTGTGTGTTGGCTATACTGCGATCCCCACAATGTTTAGCAATAGAGAACTGCGACATAAAGCAGAAACACAACTGTGTGAGAACATAAGAACATAATATTCTTATTGTATTATTTTGAAAAGTCACATCAAGATCATCACTCAGGAGTCTGGATAATTTGCCTGTCATGTAGCAAATCTCAACCTTTCAAATTCACAATCTATTGGAATATCAGTTAGATTGATAAATAATAGAATTAAGCCTCAGTCTAAATTAGGCAATAGGTTTCTCAAAGTACGAGAAAACACTTGAGGAAATAAATGATCCTCAATGTCCGGTCAATACGGGATGGTGACAGGTTCGTACTGTTATTGACAACATAGTGTAACTGCACATTGGGAAGTTTCGCTGCTGACTGGGAGATGCTGCCAATGAGCAGGTGATGCGATTGCCAGTGACTAAGTGTTATCGATGCTTCTGACCGGTAAATGGTCTTCTCCATGAATGCAGTTAGTCGTTGGCATCTGGGCAATGCTGTTGGCAAGTGGCTTGATATTGTCTCTAATTAGGCTTTGCTGATGCTGGTGTTCGGGATTTTCTCCAATGACTAAGTGATGCTGCTGGAGATTAGATAATTATTCTCGGTGACTGATTTTTGCTGTTGGCATTTGATGCTGCTGAATTGTGTTGATGTTGAGCGCTGGGTGATATTATTCCAGGAAATACTGGATACTGCTGGTGTTCTTGTTTCTGTTGGAAGCTGGATGCTATTGGTGACCATAGGTTTTATTTTGCTGTCGAAAGGATCATGTCTGTGGTAGTTCAGACTTACTGCTGGCAGTAGCAGGATGTGGCTGAGGGCTTGCTATTCGTGATCATGATTGGGTGATGATGAGTGTCATTGAAGTGTGGGTGCGAATGTACAGTGTGTTGGTGCACAGGAGGCAAACCTATGGCTGCAGGAACGAAGAATCTGTAAATCTGCTCATTACTGTTTGGTTCTTCAAACTGCGATGCTTTTAGCTGCAATCTGAACTCCAGCGTTTTATTGATTGTCTCACTTCGATTGATGCTACTTGCAACGGGATGATGCCAGTGCTGAAGACCAGAAGCTGCTAAGCTGATGACTGGCGCCAATTCTTACAGAAGAGCGGTGAGGAAGAATTTTGAGTGATTTTGAATGCTACTTTTTTGGTGGTCTCCCCCTAACCCTGCTTTTCCCATATGCCCAGTAATTTATATAGCGCGATTTTCTATAACACGATGTTGCGCTGGAACCCAACTATCGCGTTATAGCGGAACCCCCTGTATAACATAATTGAACCTCTCACAAATTGCTAACATAGATTGTGAATAGTCTAAAAGAAAACAAAAACTTTTTTTTTGGTATTTCAAATTATGGACTGAAACAGGAAAAGGACTGTTTAAAAGCCAATAATTGTGGGAAGGATTAATGCACTTTTTAAAAGCAAGTTACCTTACATTTCTTCTAAATGCTGGTTACGTTATTGTTTCCTCAAGCAGAGTGGACAAGCTACTGCATAGGAGCTGGAGCCAGGGAGCTTGTACAAAGGGAGATTCAGCCAGCAACAAGTAATGGATTAGTCTGTGGAATGATGATGAGTTGTCGATGACAAAGGCCGCCTGCCTGCCAATAACTGTGTGATTGGCTTTCATGTAGCTGAATAGTTTGTGGGTGTGCATGTACGGTCAGAAGCTGTTAAACCTCAAAAAAAAAAAAAGGGGGGGCGATGTCTTTTTCTATGCAGTAAAAAGCAAATGTAACTTGAAGAATGCCAGTTTATTTCCCTGCATCAGCTGCTGTAAGCTGTAGCTTTGAGCCAGGAAATCAAAGACTTTATAAGTTCTGAACCGGTCCCTTTGTGCTTCCTGCAAGCAAGTGAAAACACCTGACGAAAGATGGAGGAGCAGCAAGTCCTGACAAGCAAAAAGGATCATTACAGCAAAGTCTAAGAACAGAGACTTCCATTACTTGCAGCTAAAATCTATTTATTTGGTCCAGGGGCTCTGCCAACGTAAATTCAAATTCGGGAAATTTGTGCACTTTTATAAAATCTGATTTTTGTGATGACTCCAGGAATAGCAGGGTTTGGTATCCAGTGTGCTGCCCTGGTGAGGTATAACAAACAAAGTGCTAGAGAAACTCTGATACCATCACTGAAGAGAGAGACAGAGCTAGAGACGTAAGTTAGATATCTTCAGAATGGATGTGCATTGCAACATCCTTGTGAATAATGTATTCAGGACATATGCAGACCACACCGTCTCGAAGATATTATTGAAGCTGGATTGCAAAAATTTGATATTGTATTGGTTCCCAGTGGTCTAACCAGTCTTGTTCAACCATTAGATATCTCTTTAAACAAGCCACTGAAGGACAACCTTATCTTAAAAAGTATTCCACTTTTTCCTAAGTGGAGAGAAGACATTCATCAAGAGAGGCAACAGACATAAAATGTTTACAACTGTGTGAACGGGTCAGAGGCTTGCAAAAAGTCTCCTGACAACCGTGATCAGCTGACATATCAACTTAAACACTTAAGCAGTGAGACAGGTGAGGGGGTAGATTCTAACTCTCGAAAAATGTTGTTTGTGTACAAGTTTACCCCTTACTTTTTGGTTCAGCTTCAGTCCCCTTTTACATGAGAATGTACAGCAATTTTACTGTATACACTAAATTAGACTATATTTTTGGCTCAAGACCTGGAAAATATGGCGCTACAAAATCAATTTTCTGTTAAGTTTTATTGCAATTTACAATCTATTTAAACCTGGGCATGCCAGGCAAGAGTTCTTCACTTACCTCTTCCTGTTGGTCGATCAAATTATAACATGCTAAAACAATAAAGTCATTCCACCATGCAAGACCACCAGTCACAGCCATATTCTGTTCCTAAAAGTAGGTATGTATGGATTAGAAAATGTCACCAGAATAATTTATTTTCCAAACATTACTGCTACCTAGATCAAACACAAATTATATTTCCTTAATCACATGGTGAGCAGAGTGTTTTGTTTTAACACTATTGAGCTAACAGTACTTGTTAACTTTTGGCTGAATTCCACAAATATCAAAATCACCAAAAAGGAATTTTTGTGGTTTAAAACTATTTGTTCATAAAAACCTTTCAAGAAATGAAATAGCAACAGACGGCAAAAAGTCTACTGTTATAAAATTTACAAATTCAAACACTCTTAAGCCACTGGGCACCTTCCAACGTACAAAGCACAAATAAAT